AACCCCCCCCCCCCACCCAACCCTGCAGAGCATAGCCGCTGTACTCCAAAAACACGCGCCCGCCAAACGCCATGCGCTCAACCACAGCAGTTCTTCGAAAGCCTCTACAACCTTTTCGCACTCAAACCTTTGGGAAAGCATACCACAACTACGGCACATCGGTCACGTCCAGCAAGAGCAAATGTAGAGGGTGTTATCTCACGTCATACACTATCTCCGAAGAACCCGCACACCGGAAACACAAAAAAAAACACAGCAAGTCTTAGCTTACCTCTCCCACGTACGACGCGGCTTCAACGGCTTTCGACAGCCCCTGGCCAGCAAACCCGGCCCCCTTCCCCGCAATGCCAGCAACGGTCCCCCACATGGTTCGCCTCCCGCACGCTGTGTCGGTGCTGGGTGGTCAATGGTGCTGAGAGTAAGTGTGTCGTGGGGGCCCTGAACGAAGAGCTCAATATATCCACCCACATGCACACGCTCTATCTGTCTGCGTGCCCCCTCGTCAGCCCCCGGCTCTTGCAAATCGTCCACAACAACAAACATTGATCTCTCCGTTTCCCGCCGGTTTGCCAGAGAGAACGATGCAGCAGTTGCTCAGAGCGTTGGCCGCGGCCTCGGCCTTGTTCGCCTCCGGAAGCGCGCGCGCTTCGCCGGGGACGGCAGGCGCGGCGGCGGTGGGTGCGGGCGGCAGCAGGAAGAATGCTTGGACGCAGAGGCGCGAGGTGTGTAGTGCATCAAGCTTGTTGCGACACGTGTCTCATCCCATCGCCACCGCAGCAACTACGGAGCTTACTTGTTGACTGCTGCCTACGCTCTCCCGCGCACGCCTTTCTTTCCCCCTTGACAGCATTGACTGCTAAGTATCCCCTGTGCGTGTCGAGGGGGGTCCGTTGAGAGTTGACGGCAGTGCCAGCTGGCTGCATTTTGCGGGTGACCGGCAGCAGCAGCAGGTTCAAACAGGATGTCGATTTGCACAGCCAGCGGTGGTTGATCTGTCATCTTCCAACATGTGTCTGGCTCTTGTAGGGCGAGTCGCCTCGCACCGGACAGACACCCTCGCAAGCTGTCCCCTCTTTTCCAGCGTAGGTGCATCGTCTGGCGCAATCCATCGCTATCGGACCGTGGAAGCTCTTGATGTTCATGAAGATACCATGACGCCGTTGGGGTGGCAAGTCTGCTGAAAGTCTCACCTTCGAGAACGTAGCCTACCGTATTTGACACGAGATAACACACCCATTGCTCCACGACGAAGTGGATGCATAAACGACACGATACATTTTCGAAAAGCTCTCGACGAGAAGATTTCAACGCCGCCGTTTTCGGCGCTGTGAATGTTCCTGCATTTGAGACATCGAGCTTCGAAAATTGGTCAAGGGGGTGTGTTATCGTGTGTCATACACGGTACATGTTGTGGTAATGTCCCTGCGCTAGCCAGCCGTGGGAGGTTACGACGACGACCTTCTCCTCACGATGGTGCGTCGTTGTGATTGCGTTCAATTTTCCCCTATCGAGCACAAAAGCTCTCGTTGTCCATGAAGATATCGCCGTTGGCATGTGTGTCTGCTGCACATTATTCGCCTTGTGCTCTTGGGAGAACTTTTTGATGTTGCTGTGATGCTGTGTGGGATGACGCTCGCGCGCGTGTGCTCTAGTCTAGGCGTTCGCGACGAGGACCTTCTCTCCACCATGGGATGGTGCATCGTTCTGATTGCGGGTAATTTTCCACACCTGGCACGGAAGCTCGGTCCATGAAGACATCGCCGTTTGAGTAATGGCACGTCTGCTGCTGCAAGTCTCACGTTAGAGAAATTCATGTTTGTGATGCTGTGTGGGGAACGTATTGTACTGCTGTGCGATCGCCAAGTGGTGAGCGGTTGCAGCGACGACTGGTTGGATGGGAACAGACAGATTGCAGATTTGTACAGCATCTAACAACGCAGTACACCTACATGGGTGCCTTCCGCCACCACATGCACATATCTGGTCTTGTACTACAGGACATGAAACGCCAACCTTTTCTTCATGACATGAATGTCCACAACGACGACAACCAAGGACTTAAACATGGCCGAGTATCCAGCCGGTTGTTTAGCTGTGAAGACCTCAACACATCCCCTCCGAATATGGTCATGTATCTCAAATGAGTACTCTTTTTGTAGATAAAGTGTATTTCATAACTTATCGCCATGAATACCCCCGACAAGAAAAACATTTGCAGCCAAGGGTTGAGCTGGACGCTGTACCGCTGCTGCCTTCCGCCGTCTCGAGAGCGAGAGCCGCCTACATCGCATCATCCGATGCTCTTTTTTGCGCTTCATGAAAACGCCCGACCCGAAAAAGTACGCTTCATTGACGGCATGAATTACAGTAGAGGTCCCTGCTTAGTGCCGTTTGAAATTGCTATACTCCTGCTTGTCCTTTGTATTGCCTTCGGCCTCTGTGCTGTTTTTTTTTTTTTTCATGTCCTCCCTGCCTACTCTACCTTACTGGGCACCTTGATCTCCATTTTGCTGGTGCTTTTGTTTTTTTAATACATGTGGCTGTCTGCTCATCTGCCGCCTCTTTGTCCTGTTTGCTCCGTTACTCCCATGCCCTGGTGCGTAATGCCGGCGCTGGTAGGTTACCCTTTGATTTTTTTTGGCGGGTGTGGGAAGCGTCCCCCTTTTGTCTTTCTTGTTTTGTTTTGTCGGTTTCCTTGGGCTATTTTCTCGACCGGTCGGTCCGGTAGCTGTTCTTTTCTTTCTTATTATTTATATTTTTTTTTCGGAGTGGTTTGTACCCTATAATTGTTTTGTTTCCCCGTGGCGTCGTATGTGCCGTATTTTTTCGGCCACGGGCTCCCCATTTTTGTGGACTGAAGAGCTAACCTGAGAAACAACAAGTGCCGGTACAAGCAGTGCTGGAATACCGGTGTAGTGCCGGTGTTTTCGGCGGGCACACACTGAATTTCCAAGTAATTCTCAGTACTTGGAAAAGTGCCGGTACGGTATAGATAGCGGTGCCAGTGAACTTTCTGCGCACATACAGTACCGGCACTAACTAAACAGGGACCTCTACTTCTGTATCCCCCAACGACGACAATAACAATTGCAGCCAAAGGTTGAGCTGGACGATGCGCGGCCGCCGCCGCCGCCGCTGCCGCGCTCGGCCGTCTCGCGGGCGACGAGCGGGCTATCGTCGTGCCTGGGCCTGAGGGGGGGGGGCAACGATAAGGGGAAGGCGGACGCCATCGACGGCCCGTGCATCGGCATCGACTTGGGCACGACGTACAGGTGTGCGTTTTTGTCGTCTCCTGCTGTAGTGTAAATTCCACTTGCTGTCCTCTTTTGCCTTTCGCAAGGAATCCAACTTGTTTTTGTTGTTTTGGAAATTTCGATGTTGTGCATTGCAACCATGCTAACCTACAAATGCGAGTTGTACCGCGGGAGGGGTGGCACTGTAGGGGACCTCAGGGTCGTTGTAAACAACGGCTATTTACGCTTTCAATTTTTAAAGTCTCCAAATCCGTAAATCATAGGTAACACGTTGAAAAAATTGGAAAGTTGGAAGCAAAAGCAGCTGTGTTTAAAACGGCCCACAGAGGGAGGAATGCTTCTGCGTGACGACGGATAAGAGCACGTGTCTACCGTCGGTTGCGTAAGATATCTCACCCCCTGGGCCGATTTTCAAAGCTTGATTTACTCGGCAGGGAACGAAAGCAGTGACGGTGCGAAAAATGGCGGAGTTGGAACCGTCCCGTTGAGAAGCTTTCCGAACACGCATCGTTTGCCTTCGGCATTCTCCTGGTCGTGGAGTAAACGAGCTAAGACAGTCGGTCCAGGGGGTGTGATATCTTACGCAACCTGCGGTATCCGGCAGAAATTCTGCGAAGCGCTGATTAGAGTGATAAAAGAAGAAACATACCGCCAGTACCAAGCAGCAGCAGCGAGAGTGCTGCTGGGTTGCGTGTAATGTGCCCCAGGTACATCATGAAGTAGCAGTTTTTTGTTGGCATTCTCGTTTAAAGGGGACCGCTGCAAAGCGTTTCATCATCCAATGCACACCGAGTTTTGTCCCTTTGAAGCCACTCTGCTTAAAAGACCCACCCCGGCCGTCACGTGCTCATACGTGTGTTCACCGTAAACATGTTTCCGGAAGGTTCTCGACAAGTCGTTTCCAACCTCGCCGTTCTCGTGGCACCGCCACTCCTTCTGCTGTGGAGTAGTAGTCGAACCTTTGATGTTGGTCCAGGGGATGTGGTACCTTATGCAACCCACGGTGCATTGACGTCGATGGGATGTGGTATCTTATGTAACCTACTGAACATGGACGTCAAGGGGGTACGGTATCTTATGCAACCTACTGCACATAGACGTCGATGGGGTGTGGTATCTTATGTAACCTACTGAACATGGACGTCAAGGGGGTACGGTATCTTATGCAACCTACTGCACATAGACGTCGATGGGGTGTGGTATCTTATGTAACCTACTGAACATGGACGTCAAGGGGGTACGGTATCTTATGCAACCTACTGCACATAGACGTCGATGGGGTGTGGTATCTTATGTAACCTACTGAACATGGACGTCAAGGGGGTACGGTATCTTATGCAACCTACTGCACATAGACGTCGATGGGGTGTGGTATCTTATGTAACCTACTGAACATGGACGTCAAGGGGGTACGGTATCTTATGCAACCTACTGCACATAGACGTCGATGGGGTGTGGTATCTTATGTAACCTACTGAACATGGACGTCAAGGGGGTACGGTATCTTATGCAGCCTACTGCACACAGACGTGGATGGGGTGTGGTATCTTATGTAACCTACTGCACATAGACGTCAAGGGGGTATGGTATCTAATGCAACCTACGGTACATAGACGTCGATGGGGTGTGGTATCTTAGGTAACCTACTGAACCTTTGAAGAAGTCGACCTCACTCTTCTCTGGGTTTGCGCGTACCTCTTCCACGGTTGGAATTCCCACAGCGTTTGCCATTTTGCCGAGAACGATCTTGCTTACTGCCCATATCATCAGGTTGTCATGTTCTCTTGCGGCAGTGTTGGTAATGCTCGGTGCAATCGTTCTCATGAACATAGACGTCAAGGGGGTATGGTACCTTATGCAACCTACTGCACATAGACGTCAAGGGGGTATGGTACCTTATGCAACCTACTGCAAATAGACGTCAAGGGGGTATGGTATCTTATGCAACCTACGGTACATAGACGTCGATGGGGTGTGGTATCTTATGCAACCTACTGAACATAGACGTCAAGGGGGTATGGTATCTTATGCAACCTACGGTACATAGACGTCGATGGGGTGTGGTATCTTATGCAACCTACTGAACATAGACGTCAAGGGGGTATGGTATCTTATGCAACCTACGGTACATAGACGTCGATGGGGTGTGGTATCTTATGCAACCTACTGAACATAGACGTCAAGGGGGTATGGTATCTTGTGTAACCTACTGAACATAGACGTCGATGGGGTGTGGTATCTTATGCAACCTAATGTACTACTGGTAGACGTCAATTGTGTGTGGTATCTTATGCAATCTACTGAACATAGACGTCAAGGGGGTATGGTATCTTATGCAACCTACTGCACATAGACGTCAAGGGGGTGTGGTATCGTATGCAACCTACTGTACATTGACGCCATGGGGGGTGGTATCTTTTGCAACCTACTGTACATTGACGCCATGGGGGGTGGTATCGTCTGCAATCAACGGTTCGGCACAAAAAATTGAGAAAGGCCTGACCGAAAACATCGCTAATCGACGTGCGTCCATTGTGAGACTTTGTTTGCACGGAACCGATGGTCTCGACAGGTAGAAGTACTTGATACAACGACTGTTTTGAGACGTTCTTCTGGGTCGGGTAGCATACTGCAGCGAGGGAGCCCGTGTATTTTCATTTCATGCACATGTGTTATGGTAAATAAGTAAAAAATGGCATCCACAGGGGAGATATCGCTGTGCGTTGCTCGGGAAACCCTGGAAATACAGGTGGTTTCCGCTGACGCTATGGATTCATTGCTAGTCTATCGCAAACTCTTTTCGATGGGTAGATGTGGAACTGTATTGTCATACTTGTATTGGCATTGCTGGCTCCCGCCGCTCTCAACGGATTAGTCCCCCCCGCTCCCCTTCGCCAACCTTAAAAATATATAAATAAATCACCACGCAGCTGCGTTGCGGTGTGGCAAAACGGCCGGGTGGAGATCTGCGCCAACGACCAGGGGAACCGAATCACCCCTTCCTTCGTAGCGTGGACCCCGGACGGGCAGAGGCTTGTTGGAGATGGCGCCAAGAACCAGGTGGGGTGTGTGTTAGTTTGAAGTTTTTGCATGTGCATTGG